ATTAGATTACGTTTCTTTTAAGTAAAAAGTTTGTTAATTATAACTTGAATCAATTGAAAATTTAATTTAGAATAGAATTTATTTATTTTTCATTTATTACTTTATTTATATAATATTTCACTGCAAAAAATAGTAAATGTGAATTTTATTAGTTATTTGCTTTCCCCCAATTCGGATTTAAATGGATTATTTCAACTCAATTATATTGTACCTATTATAAACAATAATTGTTTTAATATTAAAATATTAAGTCATGACAAATTATTTGAAAATGAAACAACAAATATTTGGATTCAGTTTCATTTGCTGGTATTAAATGTAAATAACACTGGAGAGTGATATCATCTAGCGATCCAGTTTTTTTCCTCTTCTTTTTGTTCTCAGTGATTGAAATTTGTATAAATGAATTAGTGGAATGTAGACAGAGAATAATAAATCTCAATCAGATGCTATGCTGCGGTGGCGGCGCTATGCGTAAGTGTGACGTGAGTCTTAATTTAAAAAGAAAAAGATTTGTGTCCATGTCGCTTGAACTTGCGACCTCATTTCTTCGGGTTTAATAAAAAAAAAAGAAAAGAAAAAAGAAAAAAAACAGAGAAGGACTTGAAACCTAACTTTCTGACCGACAGTCTATCTACTATAGTCACCTATTGGATGTCATTTATCTACTCCAGCTATACCTGGCGCTCATAAATACCAATTCGAACCGACTTGAAAGATTGATGTATCTTCGAGCGAGAGACATTGATCCAACGCAGTGTTTCTCAAATTACAACTCGCTTTTGAATTGACCACACAGTTTAAATTTTGTAAGAGTCTATCTCGCTCTTACAAAATTCAGTGAGGGAGAGAAAAAGAATGAAATTTACCTCTTTTTCCACACGCGGTCCGCGTTGGTCAGAGAGCGACTCTCTTCCGACTCTGTTCGGTCTAATAAATTTCGTTGTCCTTCAAGGCCAACGAACTTTTTTTTTCCTCTTCTTCTTTTCTTTCTTTTCTCAAGCTTCTCTTATCCCCCGTCATCGATTTCTGATGACTCTCGCTTTATCTCGAGTCCGACAAACATTTCTCGACACTATATTTACACAGGCTTTGTTAATCTCCTGTCACAACCGACTCGCCAAGTAGCGTGGTCATTTTAATAATTTATCGTTTCAAGTTAAGAAAAAAGAGTCACTTGAAAAATATATGATATTAACTCAATTTCATTGATTTCAATATTATTTTTATTTTCACGTTATGCAAATGATTTCCTACCTATTGTACTACTTGTAAGAATTTTAATTTATCACCTGGTAAATTGTCGTTTTTGTGTTATTTAAATTCAGAGGAAAAAGAAACATCTTTTGCATAACATAAATGTTTGTTAATGCGTCAATATCATTTATTATTCATTGAGTATTATTTATCTGTGGAGGAATTTTTAATCAGACACTTTGACAAGAGAGAAAGTTTCATTGTGTTGGGAAAAGTTTTATGAATAAGGTTTGAAGGAAAACTAATTTGATAACAATGATTTTGAATATTAAAAATTTCCCTGTTTTCAAAGTTCAAGTTGAATTTTGTCATTTTTCTCAAATTAAAATTTTATTGTATAATATTGCATCACTTAAAAATAAAATTGTGAAGTTTTTCTTTTTTTTATTGTAATTAGGAGAAAATATTTATATTAACAATATTAGTCTTTTATAATATCTATGTTTTTTATTCAATTTATTAATTTTATTATTATCAGTGTTTTTATTAATTTATTAATTAATACATTCAGTCATAAAACAAATAATTTCATCCAATTAAATGTTCAGATCATTATTCAGATCGAGTTGACAAAGGTCAGAGAAATTTAGTCGGGAAATTCAGGGAAAAATCATGGAACTTCATCAAATAAAATGTGAGGAAAAATAATTGAATTTTAGACAAATTTTAAATCAATTTTATTTTTCAATAATTCGATTCTCGATAAATTTTTCGCTTAATTATTTAAAAATAATTGATTTAAATAAGAATTGTAGTTAAAAATTCTGGAAAATAATTGAAGTTTCAAAATTATTAAAAAAAATTAATGTTGCGAAAAATTTTAATTACAAAATTTTAGAACCATTCAATTCTTTAATATTTAAAAATTAGTGAAAATTTTCGTTAAAATTGTAAATTTTAATTGATTTTTTAACTTGTTAAAAATAATTGATTTAGTGAAAAAATTTTAGAAAAAAAATTGATATTTTCACAAATTTTAGTGAAATTATTTTAAAATAATTAGTTTAGAAAGAAACTGTAGTTAAATTGAAGTTGCAGAATTACTAAAAATAATATAAATTAGAAAAAATAGTTTAGTTACAAATTCTAGAAATTAATTAAAGTTTTAAATCTACAATAATAATTGATTTACCGAAAAATTTTCAATTTCATTTCTAGAAATTAGTTTAATTTTTTAAATTACAAAAAATAATTGATTTAGTGCAAATTTTAGTTAAAAATTACAAAATTGAATTTTAAAAATAATTCATTTAGTGAACAAATTTTAGTTCAAAATTTTAGAAAATAATTAAATTCTGGAAGAGTTACAGTTGCAATTTTTAAAAATAGGTAATTAAATGTCAGAAGTTTTCTAATTAAAATTTTTGAAAATTTGAAATTCATGATGAAAGTTGAATTTTTTAATATATTTATTTTAAAAAATTTCGAATAATTAAATTTTTTTAAAGATTTATTGAAAATAATTGAATATTTTAAGAATTTTATTGAAAATTTTGAAAATAATCAAATTTTTGAAGACAGTCACAATAATTAGGGTTATAAGGGCAACAAAGATGAAATTCAAAACGGATCTAAAAATATTTATATTTTGGAAGGGTTACAATTTGACTTTCTGACATTAGTTATATATGTTACGGTCAATGTCCGGAATCGGGCAATGTCTGACAATGCCCGGGCATTATCGACATTGCCCACAACCACTGGGCATTGTCGACAATGACCATCAATTTCGGTCAATGTCCGAAATAATTTATATTATGAAGTTTTTTCGGGCAATGTCGACAATGCCCGGTCCAGTTTGGGCAATGTCAATAATTAATTTTTTAATTTAATTTAAATTCATTTTAATCGAAATGTACCGACTAGTTATAAATAAAATGTCTCGTAAATTGTAATATTATTTCGTTTACAATAGATTGAGTCTCACATTTTGTAATAATTGCTCTCACGAATAATAATATAAATATAGAGAATAGTTTTTATTTGTTTACAATAATTTGTTTATAATTACCATTATCAATTTTTAAAGCAAATATAACTTTAAATGAAGTTTTATTGTCAAAATATAGTAAAATATTGTGTTTTTATGGAAAAATGTTAGAGTACCAATTTGTAAACGCTTACTCTAATTGTCCCATTTTGTGAAAAGACATGTACCAATTATTGCAGTTTCAAATATTTCAGTCAATTTATTTACTTATTCCAATAATTTAATGTTATAAATTTTAAATCGTTAAATTATTAACTATATGGTTATAAAATGTGATGTTTTGAATTTTTTTAAATAAATTATAAAACTTAGAACTAATAAATAACCCCAATATTAATGCTCTATTAACAAAAAAATATCACTCACGTTGTCACTGGCCATTTTTACCAATGATTTAATACTTTAAAAGTCTGATTTTAATAGTATAATTAATTTAATCCTTAATGTAAACAACATTGCCCAAAAATGAATGGGCAATGTCAACAATGCCCGGGCACTGTCGTCATTGCCCGGGCATTAACACACTTTGCTGAATATTATTGAAAATGTATGGGCATTGTCGACAATGCCCAGTGATTTTGGGCAATGTCGACAATGCCCGGGCATTGTCGACATTGCCCGATTCCGGACATTGACCGTAACATATATATATATATTTTTTTTTTTTATTATTTATTTGCATGTAACGTAGATTCGAAAAGATTTGTTCAAAATAAAAAAATTAACTTGTTTTATTACACTTAGAAAAAATTTATTTTTTTATTTATTTGTTTATACACCCGTCTTAAGCCTACAATCTTGGCTATACAAGTGTTTTTACAACCGTAGAACATTCCTTACAAACATTTCTTAATACTAAATTTTTGCGCCTACAGAGCGACTTGAAAATTAGGAGTACTCGCATTTGCCTGGACCACCCGTCTAATGGGTTTTCTCGCCAGAGAAGAGGGAAACTGTAGAAAACCTCTCTGAGTACAACCGGTTTATCGACAGTCGAATTCTAATGGTGTGTACCGGACAATAATCGACGGTGCACATCATTATACTTCGACGTCAAACCTCCCGCTCAGATTATCTTACGTGCCGGAAAAATACCAAGCCAAATGGGCGCGACTATTATTTATCAATTAAATATTCACTTGAATCAAATAATATTTATTGGAGTCTATTGAATGGTATTTGAAACAATAATTTCAGTATTTGAAGCCAATACCATTTAATTGACTCCAATAAAGTAATTGAGTTCTCGAAAATAATTAATTAAAAATTCTCAAATAGTTGGAATTTCGAAATTTTTTATTGAAAAGAATTTAATATTTCGAAGTTTTATTAAATACTTTAAATTTTATTTTTAGAGGAATTTTTTAAAAAATTCTAAACATGAAAATTTTTTTAAACTTTTAATTCAATCCTTTGAAAAATTGAAATTGCTTGAATTCTCGAAAATAATTAATTTAAAAATGTCCGAACAATGAAAATTTTGTGAGATTTTATTGAAAAAGTATAATATTTTGGAAGATTTTATCATTTTTCAAGCAAAACGAATTTTTAAAGAAGTTGTATTGAAAATTTTGAAGATAATTGAATTTTACGATAAGAGTTGAAATTAAAGTTATATTGAAATTAGGGGAAATAAAAAATTGTCTGGAAAATCAGGAAAAAGTATCAATTTTTTGTGACAATCGTCTAAAATAAAATAAAATATTACCGCGGAAATATTTTTTTTTCTAATAATTTGATTATTTTGTTACAGATGTCAGTATTCTTTTATCACATCGTTTTGCATTGGTAAGTTGAAGAAATTTTTTCTCCTTTTTTCTATATTTAATATCCTCTTTATTCGCTAACATTTCTCACCGGTGTTCTTATCATTGTTCGCGAGCAATTTTCCATATAAACTTCACTCGTAAACTAAATTCTTTGAAAAGAAGTGCGGGTTTATTTTTACACCTATCATAAATGATACTGGGATTATTATTATTACACGTGGCCATATCAGGGATTTTTCGTCCTAAGAATCCCATAAGTCGGGTATAGAAGTGAAATAAAAATTTTTCCTTCGCTCTCTCAGCAAATTTTTCAGACTGCAATTTTCATTGGATTTCCTTTAAAGAGGGTTAAACGCCGTTGGCGAGATTTTCATCTATTTTTTTCCTGTCTCTCTCGCTCTCTCTCTCGTTCTCAAAGGTGGTAAAATGTTTCGCGTTTGCAGTAATGGTGAATCATTTTGAAATGTCTGTTTTTCCAAAGCCAAGCTGTGTCGACCGCAATCTCTTTCGTTATTAAGGTTTTTGACGTAGCACACAGATCTCTCTGTCTCGCTCTATTCTTTTTACGTCGACTCGCTGGAAACGTCGAGGCCCACTTTCCTCAGCCATTTCCTTTTTATTGTATAGGGGATGAAAGCGTTTTACTCCTGTGTTTGTGTTTTAAGTGTGGGTATATTAGTGCTCTCGCCCCCATCGTATTTTTGTCAGTGAACAAGGTAACAATATGATAATAGACGTTCACTCAAACCACCACCATTCTTATGTCCTTACTCTTATCATTTTCACTACGTCTAGTCAGGAGAACGTTTTCATTTCAAGGAAAACATTAATACGACCTCAAAACCCTGAACGTCGGAAACACTCGCTCTATCTTAATAACAAAAGGCTCCGACTAAAAAATAACAAAAAAAACTAAACTTTTTTCTGGCATTACACTCGCTCTTCAAGTTTGCATCACAAAAATATACTTTTAATCCATTTCTCTGTTATTTATATTTTTATACACAAAAATGAAAAAAAAAGATTCAGAGTGTATTTTTGTCTCTGGAAAATTAATGAAAAACGTTAGAAATGTAAATTTGGAACAATCTTTTTTTGAGAATTCGAAAATTCTTTCCACATTGTCTACTGTACTATTTATACTTGGTTAATTATTAATTAATTATTAATTTGATAAATATATAAATTTTCTTCATTTTAAAAAAAAGGGCTTCGCACTCATCTAGGTACTAAAACCTACTATTTATTAGTACTTTTTTAGGGTTCCGTACCCGGTAGGAACCCTATTAAAACGGTTACGGAAAATGACCATGTACCCTTCCCTAGCGCTCACAGTTTTTCATCTAGAGAGCTAAAAATTGGTACACATATGTGACGCGACACGATAAAAGGGACCTGTCGTTAAAAAAATCGATTTTGAGATTATGGTGCTATTCGACAGATTATTCTTTGCTCTTTCACGTGAAAAAATCAAAAGTTGAAAAACTTAAATAGTGTTAATAATATAAAGCCCGAAAGTTAAGCATGTACGCGTAAATACACGGGTTTTCTGCGCATGGCGTCGCTTTAAACGCTCTCCCTGTAAAATTCTCTTTTGCGGCGATAGGTCCCTTTTCTCGTGTCGCGTCACATATGTATTTTCACGCGTAGATTACACGAAAAATATAGCGAACGTGATTGGGATTGAACTTCATAGAGTTTTCCGCGAAAAACATCAAATTTTGTCCGCTTTTCGCAAAAAAAGGCATGTACCCCCCCCTAGAGCTCACAGTTTTTTACCTAGAAAGATGAAAATTATTGGTATGCATATGTATTTTAAAAAATGGATTACAGGAAAAATATAGCGAACATATTTGGTATTGATCTTCATAGTGTTTTCAACAAAAAACTCGAAAATTTTGAAAATTTCGAACAAAATTCATGTTCCCCCCCCCTCCCTGGCGCCTATAGTTTTTTATCTAAAGAGCTGAAATTTGGCATACTTATTCGTTTTTACGCATAGATTACAGGAAAAATATAGCGGAAGTGATTAGAATTTATTTTCATTGTGTTTTCATCAAAAAACTAAAATCTCTTTTTGCAAGCTCGAAAATTCTTTAACCCTTGCTGGTTCTCTTAATTCTTAATCTAGTGGACTAGCGTTATACATTTTTATTTATTTTTTCGTGTAGATTTCAATAAACATACAGAAAAAATTATCGGAATTCATCTTCATATTTTTTTTTTGCGAAAAACTAAAAAAAATTTCGTTTTAAAAAAAAAGTGTGTACCCCCCCCCCCTTGTTTTTCACAATTCTTGGCCTATTGGACTGCAGTTTTGCTTATTTTATGTATTTTCGTGTGTAGATTTTAGGAAAAATATAGCGAACATGATTGGATTTGATCTTCATATTTTTTTATCTCACAGTTTTTTATCTGAAGAGATGAAAATTGGTTATTTAATTTTTCCCACCTGTGGATTACAGAAAAAATTCAGCGAAAAATATTGGAGTTGATCTTTATATTTTTTCAGCAAAAAATTAGAAGTTTTAAACGAGGGTACGGAACCCTCGGTTTTAGTACGAGTTCTACTCGCACTTGTCCGGTTTTTTACAATTAGTTACTATTTGGATAATGTTTTTAAATTTGTGACACTAAAAGATACTTTTTTCTTTTTTTTTAAATACAGAAATTTAAATCTGCTAATATTTTAAATAAAAAATTATTCTTAATTTTAATACATAATTTCCTTCTTGAAATTTTCTTGAAAAGTGTATTTCTATAATTATTATAATTGCCTATGAATTGAAATACTAGGCTTACCATCTTTAAGAAACTTCCTGCGTTATCATTAAAATAACGTAGGAAGGGATAGTATATGTCAAAGAATTCGGAGAATCTCGGGGTGCATGTAGCTCAGTGGTCAGAGCAGTCTACCGGCAATAGAAAGGTCGTGGGCTCGTATCCCACCATGCTACCGTCTTTTTCTGAGTTCTTTGATAATTTTGAAATTATTTATTAATTTCGAAAATATTTTTCAGATTAAGCAGGTTTCTGTATTCGGGCAGCTGTGCTGTCGATACATATGAAATCTAAGAGCTTATAGAGATTTATTTAAGATATTTAATTTATTTAGTAAAAATTTGATTCGGATAATTGATAGCTTCTTTCTTCTTAATGTATTTCAAATAATTGAATTTCTATATGAAAATTTTATTATTTATGATAGTAATTGAATTTGATTAATTTTATTCTAAAGTAATTGAATTCTTTTGAGAAATTTTATTAAAATAGTAGATATTGAAAATATTTTAATTTCAGCGAAAAATTTTATTATTTGTGAAAGTAATTGAATTCTTGCGAAAGATTTTTTAAAAATTTTAGAAAATCCTTTTGAAACAATTCAATTCAATTTCAAAAATTTTTAGAAAATCTTTCGCAAGAATTAAATTATTTTAATACAATTCTAATAAAATTATTCGAAATAATTGGATTATTCTTAGAAATTTTCATAAAATGATTTTTAAAAAATTCAATTATTTAAAAAAAAATTAATAAAATTCGATGCAAGAATTTAATTATTTTTATAAATAATAAAATTCTTCACAGGATGTTAATTATTTATAAAATACAATTTTATAATTGAATTCCTCGAAAGAAATCAATTATTTTCAAAAATTTTGATAAAATTCTTTATAAGAATTTAATTTTAAGAAATAATTATTCTATCAATTATTTATTTTTTTTTTGAAATAATTGAATTTTTGAAGAATTCTAACTAAAAGTTTGGAAAATAATTGAATTTCATAAAAATTTATATAGAATTTAAGTTATCAGGATAAGAAAAAATATTTTTCCAAAAATTTTTGTTTAAAAGATGTTTTAAAACGGTTTCTAGTAAATAATTAAATAACTATTTTCAAATAAAAATTAAAATGAATAATATGATTCTAATTTGAATTGATTTCAGAATAAATAATGACAAAAAGAAATTTGTATAATTATTTTATATTTTATCAATGTTTTTAAATCTTGTTAATTAACTCTGTGTATATTGTTATTCTATTATGTATTACTATAATTGTAGATTTAAAACTTTAAATTTTTAAACAAAATTTTAATTATCTTATGTAATTATCTTAAAAAATTTTTAATCAACATTGCAGATTTTTAAATAATTCAAAAATTTTTTGACAGAAAAAAGAAAAATTATTCAGGGGAACAGCAGAGAATTTTAAAAATAAGATTTTGTAACCACCTTGATTACTAGTTGATAAAAATTAAAAAATAGAAATTCAAAATAGAAAATTAATGTTAAAATTGGAAGAAATTTTGAAGTAGTAAACTGGATAGCAAGTAAATAAAAAATTTGAAGGTCTTCCTTGTAAATGAAAAGAAAAATCGAAATTTGGATGATCTACGAGACAGAGAACTTTTGTTTTTGTGAAGATGTGCGCAGTATTTCATTCCCCATCCACCTATAGTTAAGACATTTTTCTTTTACGTACTATTTCAAATATTTTCTCTATCTTGAGCCGGAAAATTTAATGTTAGTAAACTGGAAGAGATATTAACCGCTGATTGAAAATAATTTCCACTCTACTAACAGTAAGAGGTACAAACTTGCGGAGAAGTAGTACATACTGTAGACTTATCGATTCAATTGTAAGTTTGGACCATCTCCAGGAGTAATGCACTAAATTTAGTGGAGTCGAGCATAATTGAGCCTCTTAAGTCGAGTTGGTTACTTCTGCGCTTCATTGATCCTTTACTCTCTTCTCTTCTTCTTCTTCTTCCTCTTCTTCCTCTTCTTCTTCTCTCTCACAACGATTGTTGAGTTTCAGATTACTTCTTCGAAACAGTTGAAACTCGAAACTACCATCCTCCTCGTCATACCAGATTTGATACAAACCTTTCAAATTCCAAGAATCAGTGGGAAAAAACGAGGGAAAAAAGATGAACAGTAGATATAAAATGCCTGATATGTAAGATTAAAGATTCTGAAATTGAGATGCGATTTTACATAAATCGGAATTGTTA